TTTATCTACTGGTTGCTCTGTGTGCCGGGTGTGACTTGGTACCAAGTGCCAGAGTGTGAGGGGAGCGCTTTGCTGAACCTACTGGAATAAAAGAGATTTTCTTTACTCACCAAACTAAGAGGTCCAGACTTTTATTCTAAGTCCTTGATTTATAATTTTTCTACCACAGGAGGTTATAATTGTACCATTGATATCTTCCTTGCGTGAGCACAGTCTTACACCCAGACAATATGTGCGCCATTGTTCCTCTTTCTCCACATAACCTGCAGAGGGTCCTCCCTCAGTCCCCACCTGTGCAGGTTTGTTGGTGTTGGGAGGGTGTCATACACTGATCGGAGCGGGAATGAGATACGGAAGGGCTCCAGTTTCCAAAGTTCAGGCCAGGTGATCTTGTGTTTTGGCAAGTCTCACTTCATCCAGGCCCCCTGTGATCCAAGCTCAACGGCTTGAGACATTCTTCCCTCCTCTTCTACCTGTTGAATCTCAGCTTGGACCATGCCTTTCCTCTCTCTTTTGTCTGCCTTCCCTCACTGCTGGAAATGGATTGTTCCAAGTCCCTGGCGCCTGATGCATGGGCTCCCGATGATGTCTTTCAACTTCAGAGTCTTTTCTGCCTGAGCCACCGCTGTGTCTGCTGCCCATTTGCATCTAGATCGTGTTGTGTATAAGGATACAGCAATGGGAAAGAACTTTGCCCCAGCCTATGCCAATATATTCATGGCAGAGTGGGAGGCCTGTGCCCTGTCTCATTGCCACAAATGGCCTTTACACTATTTCCGCTATTTGGATGACATCTGGGGTGTGTGGACCCATTCTTATGATGACTTTAAAGACTTTGTCAATATATTAAATAACCACAACCAATCCATCAAAATAAAGTTTACTACCAGCCTGCAGTCCATTAACTTCCTGGATACCACCACCTATAAAGGCCCAACTTTCACTTTGTCCTGTAAACTGGACATAAAGGTCTTCATTAAGGACATGGATACGCATGTCCTCCTACACAAAAGCAGTTTTCGCCCCAGACCTAGGGGGTATATCAGGTCATTCTTAAGGAGAATCTTTAAAACATATCAGGTTGCCAAACCTCAATCAGATGGACTCAGGATCCCCTTCATCGCTCTATTCTGTCTGGCTTACCCCTCACTCTCACACGTCCACAACCCTGAACGGCTTGAAGTACTTCTTCAATTTGCCGACCGGTAACTTCCTCATCTACTCCAACCACTAAAAAGGCATGGTTGGCCTCAAAACCCTCCCCCTGGCACCAACGAATAAGCTCGCTCTGAAACTTGGAATATAACTGGGGCTCCACTCCTGGTATTTTGTTTTCTAAAACAGAAGACAAGACCGCACCTAACTAATCGTTTAATTTAAATAATTGCAACATGATCCCAGCGGTGCCTCCAATTTTTGTAGCGCCCCCTTCGGCCCTCTATGGGGTCTGCACTGTATTAACTCTAAATGCGGGGGCCCTGGATTCGTTTGTCCTCTACATTTGAGCTGTGCTCCCGTCAAAGCCTTTGCAGAGCTAGCATACCTATATCCAGTTCGGTCTTCTTCCTAGCAATACACAATGACACAGTTAACTTTAAAACATTTGCTACGCAACGCTAATCAACACAAGGCATAATATATTCAAACATATTCAGAATCATCAATATATATACAATAACCCTCAGTCTGTTAGTCCACCAAACACTTAAATATGTAGAAAGTTAAAGTAAAGAATCGTGGCAGGCCTGGTC